CTCTCTCTCTCTCTCTCTCTCTCTCTCTCTCTCTCTCTCTCGCTCTCTCTCTCTCGCTCTCTCTCTCTCTCTCTCTCTCTCAACAACAGCAACAGCAAGGGTGGGAATGCTGGCAACAAAGGAGCTGCATCAGCACGACCAATGAGTAACGCACCTGCATGCCGCAGCGAACGATGACCAAATGGTGAATTTCTGCCTCCGTCCATTTCTTCTTCTTTTGTCCAGTGACTGCTTCGTCACTCTCATCGTCAGAACCATCTGACCCATCCTCATCAGCAGCTCCTTCACCCTCACCACCACCACTTCCTTTCCTCTTCTTCCCCTTCTTTTCCTTCAATGGTGTGACAACAGCTGCATGGATCTCTGTACCTCCTTCTACAGCTACCATCCCTCCTCCCCCAAGCCTCGACCCCGCTCCACCTACCACCCCACCTCCTCCGCTTTCTCCAACACCTGCTGCTGCCATTACCCGTACCACCTCACCCCCTTCCCCTGCAGCGTTTCCTCTTGCTAGTCTTAAAGCCCCATCTCCACTGCTGCCCATTCCAACAACCATCCCATCCGTACCACCTCTCTCCTCTCCTCCTCTTCCTCCTCCGCTTCCTCCTCCTCCATGTGTGCACCCAGCAGCTGCAGGCGTGCCTCTTTCTCCCCCTTCTTTGCCGCCCCCCCTCTCTCCGTGGACCTGTGATTGCAGTACACTAGGTGGTTCTCCCTTTCCTCCTCCGCCCCCTCCTACGCTAGATGACAGTGTGTGGCTATGCGGTGAAGAGAGAGGGGCTGCTCCACCTGCATGCGTTGACGAATGTACAACGGACATCCCGTCCGATACACGGGGCAAGTAATGAGCATGCCCCCCCGATGGTGGGAATTGCACAAAAATACTTCCCTGGCCTGACTGAAACGACGGGGCAGCTTGAGTGGAAGAGGCACTGCACGATGAGAAATGGACTGCTGCTCCTCTCCTTGGTGCTCCCCGCACTTCTTGGGCTGAAGAAGATGATGGCGAAATAAACGACCCTTGCATCCCTTCTCACCCACCACGTGTCACTTTCTCACATCCGCACGCCACTTCACTTCGTGGTGGAAGATGCTGAGTCAGCTTTTCTTTGTACAAAATGAGAAAGTTATGTCCACAGACTGCCACATTGTCACAAGACAAGCCATGAGCCAACACATCAGGGGAGGATGAGCCATGCATGCAATTAGTGCACAGAACTGGCATTTCACACAAAGTTAACACAGACTTTTTTTTTTTTTTTTGCATGAAATTAAGTGTCCTAATTCTGCAAGGGGGCTTCATGAAGGGGGGAGGGGGGGGCGCGGAACTTTGAAAAAGTCCCAATTCTGCATTCTTCTGTGTTTTTTTCCAACCCACAGTACTACAAACCCAGAAGGAATGGCATCTCTGCATTCCTCTTCTTCTTCTTTTTCGGAGAAAAAAATTATTACCCAATATATAGCAACGGCACTCCTTTGTCATTAGGTCATAATAATCAAATTTACAGAACGTGGCACTAAATTGTCCCTTAGAGTCATACTTACCAACCCGGCGGCGCAGGGGCTAAGTTTATGTCCCACTAGCCACCCTTGAGAACATTTACTTTCCGTCACATGAAAAAGAATGTCAGTTTTAATGAAATGGCAGTTACAGAGGTAGGTAGGAAGGTAGAGAGAGAGAGAGAGAGAGAGAGAGAGAGAGAGAGAGAGAGAGAGAGAGAGAGAGAGAGAGAGAGAGAGGCAGGTAGGTCTGTCTCTTATACACATCTAGATGTGTATAAGAGACCGGGGGCGAGGTCCCACTAGCAACGGGATAGGA